CGGGGGGTGCACAGCAGAAAGAGAGCAGACATTGGGTCCCCAGATGGGTCCTATTCCGTTAGAGCCTGCGGGTCAACCAGATCGAGCCTGTTCTCATGGGTGGGAGGGAGGGTCGTTTGCTCAGTTGTTGTTGCTGTTGAATTGCACTGAAATATTCTGCAAGTTTTGCTCCTCTGCTCTGCGTTCAGCCCACTGGCGTCTGTATCCTCCCTTGATCCCAATGAGGAGAGCATGAAGCTTGTATAGGCCCTGTTATTGTATGAACAGATATGAAACGACTTTCCTTAAATCAGTCAAGCCACTCCTGCCCGTGTTCCTCAGCTTGACTGAAGTGTGCTGGCGTGAGTGTGTGATCTATCTCATACATCCACCACAATGCATGCCCCACATCCCACATGAGCCTCACGCGTGTACCACATATGTATACACATGTGTTCCACATGCATGGATATATACATACATCACACGTACACACACATCCCACACATGTACATGCACATCCCCACACACATTACATGCACACCCCATACATACGCACACGTGCACATCCCCCCACACATACACCCACATTCCACACACATGTATGCACAGCCCAGACACACATGCACACACACAAATCACAAACACATCCAACCTTTAATCCACTCCTCGCAGGTGTTGCTCTTTTCTTGCACAAACTCTTCCTTCTAACCTCTTTCCTTGCTACTTCCAGAAGAACATTTGGTCGAGGAACAGTGCTGCTGTACATGCTTGAACAAGGAGAGCCGTGTGTTTGGATGCTGATCTGTCCCGGTGAACTGTTAAGTAGCTCTGGCATGCCAGTCCCTCCAGGAAGCTGACTGGGGACCAGGGGAGGGAGAGCCTGCTTTCTATTTGCTGTGCGCATTTCTCAGCTCTGTAATATTTCTGTTTAAAGTGATCCACATGATGGCAGGTTTTGCTTTAAACTGTTGTTGTCTGATTGCACAGTTAGAAAATTCCAGTGATTTAAAGCATTTCCGTCAGCACCTGACTTCATTTACAAGGTCATGATCCTTTTCCACTGCTGCGTAGGGCACCTGTTATACAGATAAACTGGGAGCACAAGTTGTTTGTCAGCTGTGACCTATTGATTAAAAATCAACCAATTGCTAGTTTTCAGCATTGAAAAGTACCAGTGGTCTTTTGTCAGCAGGAAGCACAGTAACAGGAGTCCGTCTCCTGGTTCTGGATTTGGCAGTCCCTGCAGTGTGACGCCTGGGTAGCTAACCGAGGGCTCCAGCAGCCTGTTTGTCAAGCAGGGGCCCCTTGGCCACAGGAAGCAAACGCGTCTGCATAGAGAACACATTTGTTATCTTTTCTGAACTGTGTGCAGGGTACTTCAAAAGGTTTGTGGGGAAAAAATGGAATTAAAAGATAAGTTTGTTATTCAGTGAAGTCTGTGGGTGCCTCACCTAGTCAGCACTTGCTGTACTACACATGTGCAGACTACATGCAGTGAGAGCACGGCACTTCACACAGCACCTCACACACGGCACTTCACACAGCACTTCACACACGGCACTTCACACATGCCACTTCACACACAACACTTCACACACAGCACCTCACACACGGCACTTCACACACGGCACCTCACACACGGCACTTCACACACGGCACCTCACACATGCCACTTCACACACAACACTTCACACATGCCACTTCACACACAACACTTCACACACAGCACCTCACACACGGCACTTCACACACGGCACCTCACACACGGCACTTCACACACGGCACCTCACACACGGCACTTCACACACGGCACCTCACACATGCCACTTCACACACAACACTTCACACATGCCACTTCACACACAACACTTCACACACAGCACCTCACACACGGCACTTCACACACGGCACCTCACACACGGCACTTCACACACGGCACCTCACACACGGCACTTCACACATGCATGCCACTTCACACACAGCACCTCACACACGCCACTTCACACGGCACCTCACACACGGCACTTCACACACAGCACCTCACACACGCCACTTCACACATGGCCCTTCACACATGCCACTTCACACATGCCACTTCACACACGGCACTTCACACACGGCCCTTCACACGGCACTTCACACATGGCCCTTCACACATGCCACTTCACACACGGCACTTCACACACGGCACCTCACACACGGCCCTTCACACGGCCCTTCACACAGCACCTCACACACGGCACTTCACACATGGCCCTTCACACATGCCACTTCACACACGGCACTTCACACATGGCACTTCACACGGCACCTCACACGGCACTTCACACAGCACTTCACACATGGCACTTCACACATGGCCCTTCAGTATGCAGTGAGCATTAGCTCTCATTTTTAGCCACTTCTAAAGCAAGGAAAGGATTGCAGTTCAAGCTTATGTTTCCCAGCCTGGACTTGCATTGTTTTGTTCTGTTTTCTAGGTAAGGTGGCAGAGGAAATGTTTACATCAACTTAATAGGCATTAGCTCTGTTTTTCAAATTTCTGTTCTACCCTGGCTGTGAGGTTTGTGGTTGTTTATAAAATATGAAGCACTCATCAGTGTGAAATAGTTGTTTATTTCCTTTTCATATTTCCTCTTATCGGAGGCAAAAAAAAAAATCTGCTTGGTCACTCAGCAAAAAAAAGTGCATCTCACTAAGCTGTTTGGGAGAGTTGTCCAGCGTACAGTGTCCCTGGGACGGAGGTGGGAGCAACGCAGAGGCACAGGGGACGTGGTCCTTGCAGCCCCGCTCTTGTGTCGGCTTTACTCACGCCTGTTGAAGCACTATGCAGCATCGCCCCCCCCCCCCCCCGGCTCCGCTCACACTGCTCTGCATTCATTCAGAATCGGACACTTCCTTTGCCTGCAGACTAAAGGGGCGGCAGGAGAGCCCGAAGGTGCACCCAGCAGCCCGCTTGGCTGTGCCCTCCGTGCCTCGTCCACCCTAAAATGCACCAGAGCCTTGCTCTTCTACTTCTAATTTTGGGGGGGAAAGCACAAAGGTCATTTTGGCAGGTGTGTAGGGTTTTTGGTTATTTTTGTTTGTTTGTTCCTGATGTTTTCTGTGTTGATCAGGGGAAAGGAGGTATGGAAGCATGAAAATAATAGCCTAAAAGAAGACCTGTGGAATAATGAAAGCCACAGGATGGTGCGCTTGTCCTCCCGTGAGACTGCGTGGCTCACGAGACTCTGGTGCTTTGAGCATGCGGTCTGTGCCGTCCCCTTGTGTGTTAGCACAGGTGAGAAAGCAGGGCGAGGAGAGCAAGCACAGAGGTCCCGTTTAATGGCTGCAAGCGGCGTTCATGTTTGTTTGCGCTCATGTCCAAGCGGAGCCCCTAAAGGCGGTGAGCCGGAACCCGAATTGCACTGCTCAGGTGCACGTCGCCGAGATAGGCTGGGCTGCGGCCAGGTGAACATGAAGTCACTCTTGGTGGTATTTAGCTGAATAACCAGAGAAAGACTTTGGAAATACCACAACCCAACTATTCAAATATTGACTCACTGAGCCTGGGAAGGAAGAGAACTTGTGGTCCCAGAGGTGTTTTATCTGAGGAGGAAGCCCCCACTTTGCCTGAGGACTTGCATGTATACACTGTGGGCTCGGTGAGGCAGAGTCCAGCTCCCCAGCACTTGGCTGACTATTTTTGGAGACGACCTGGCCGGCAGGCAGGCAGATCTAACCCCGGGAGCCGCCGGGCATCGCCGTGCCCGGTGACCGTGGGCAGAGCTGGTGAACGTGAGGTCACAGCAGAGCTGCGGTTGCCAGAAGTTTGGACGCAGCGTGCCTGCACGTGTGGGAACCTGTGCTGCTGGTTAACACAGTGAACTGGCACAGCCGTCCGTTTCAAAAGACCCTCTCAGGCAGCTTTGGCCGCACTGCTAATGACCTCCGCAGCACGGCGGCCATGCCCGGTGCGGCTTTCGGTGCCTTCTGGCTTTCTGGGAGCGGTCCCTCTCATCACAATGAGTGGCCGTGCTGCAAACACCCATTCATTTAGACTTGGGCGCAATTGAGTCGCTTCCTCTCTGAAGGTGGGAGAGTTAATGAGAAACACAGTAGGAGCCAGTCCTATTCTGCGACTGAGCTAAGGTGCCCGAAGAGGGGGCTTAGGGAGAAATGAAAGCCAGGGGACACAATCCCACTGCTCGGGGGAGTGCGGAATGGAGCTCAGCTGCTCATAAAAGGTTTTATGTGGCTTTAAAGACTCGCTGTGTGAGCCTTGTCATGTGCTGTCGTCATTACAATATTTAACAACTGATCTATTCATTGGCTTTGTTGAGACTTTTCTTAGAGTACATATGGTCCATATAAAGCAAATTCCAGGGTCATCTGAGGTTTTCTGTGAACATGATGATTCGTGAATGAGAACACAGAACTTTGAGTTACACTCCTGTGAAAAGCTCTCTGAACAGTGGGCTGATCACAGTTGAGAAGACAAGCTGTCACACTACGTTGGCGTGGCGTCACTTGAGCACTGGGGTCCCTTGGGGTACAGCCCTGGCTGCCCGCACTTAGCAGGAGTCACAGTCCACACTGGTAAATAAGCCCAGGAGATCGGGAAAGCCCTTGACTCCATGCCTCGTGTCAGCAGTGAGCGTGGCTGGCATTTCTCACCCACACGCCCTGCTCTCACAGCCTCCCGGTGGCCTGAGAGCGGCGTCCCTGCCCGGGGTTGGAGCCCAGGCACCACCACACACCACTTTTACACTCAAGCACATTCCCTCTCCTTGGTCAGCAGAGACTTTCTGTCTTGATTCCAGCACTGTCTTCAAAGAAGCCTGCCCACGTCCCACCCCACCGTCGTTTGAGAAAAAGAAACACTCCTCCATTCCAGGCCACCTGCATGCCCGGCCACCTGCATTCCTGGCTACCTGCGATCCAGGCCACCTGCGATCCAGGCCGCCTGCTCCTGCACACTCTTGCCCCCTCTGCCCCTGAGCTGCCAGTTGCAGCTCCTTGCCCAGATGGGCTCCTACCTTCATCAGCCACTGCGTGTTGTTCTCCATGATGCTCTCCAGCACTTGCAGCCTGTGCACTGAGTCGTCGTAGTCGAGGGGCGCGTCCCTCTGCACGGCGTTGGACACGTAGGGGCTGGAGGAAGAGCGGCAGTTGTCCGTCTCAGGCAGTAGGAACGTGTAGCTGCAAGACCCGTGCTGGACCTGGTACTGCTTCCTCCCCACGCTGTCCATGCTCTTCCGAAAGTTGCTGTAGGCTGTGGCCAACACAAGATCACAGCTCAGGGTAAAGAAAACAATCCGCCACATTCTCCCTTTGCTTTGGGCAATAAACCACCGCCGGCTTAGCAAGCGTCTGGCGCTCGCGAGTCCAGAGTCCTGAGCTGTCGTCTGAAACGCTGGGCTATGCTGCCATGGCTCAGTCCGTCCGGGAAAGTCTGTCTTCTTCGTCCCTTCTCAGGAGCAAAGCCGGCTCTAACACCCGGTCCCTGCCGGCGTGCAATGAACCGAGGCTGTGGCGAGTCGGATGAGCAGCCTGCTCACCCAGGAGGGCTGCAGCAGCCTCACGGAGCAGCCTTCCAGCCGCGTTGTTTCTCTTTCCCCAGATTCGCCCGTGTCAGTGTCCGAATCAATCACTTTCCTTTCCTTATATGATAAGTTGATAAGAGCAGCCAGACATGTGCGGCCAGCTGCTCCGCCCTCCTGGCTTTTCCGCTATCTTCCTGTAGGGGGGTCAGCAGCCCGGGAACAGGAAAACCCGGAGCCTGGTGCGTGCTGGGCGGCCAGCTTGGGCTGCAGGCTGCAGAAGCCCCATGGGTAGGCTGGTCGGCTGCAGCACCCTGGGCACGGCCCAGGCCCCACCCTGACTAAGTATTTCCTAGAGAGAGCACTCGGGCTCTTTTGTCTGAAACTCATTTCGCTGTGCTCAGCTGCTAGAGTATCTGAGGTAAGAACTTTAACTTTAAAGTACAATGAAGTTCCTGTTTTTCCCTCTAGGAATAAAAATACTACCACTATGTCAAGGCTCCGGCTTATTTTTGTTATTGCAAATGAGAGAAATTTGGCTCATATAAACCGTGTGCTGTTTCACAGGGAAGATGCTTTCCTGCACATTACTTGGCTATTGTGCCATCTAGCTAAGTGATGCACGGTTTTCATTTTAAAACAAGTTGGTTGGGAGAGTCCCACTCTATCAAACCCTGTGGCAAAGAGCATTGCTAAGTTCACTTAGTTTCTTTTAAATGAAACATTCAGCTTGATATTCAAAATTGACTTTAAACGTACAGTACTGATGAATGGATTGTTAACTTACAATCAGAAGTCAGAGGAAACAGAATTTAGGTAAGATTGTGTTGAGAGAAAAATGTGTGAACTTCTTCGTCGTTGAAATTCACTCAGATCGCTTCATTTTCTGGCGTAGTCTCAGTTAAATTAGTTCCATCCGATGTCAGACTCCAGCAAATCACTTCCCTTTCTAATTAACCTCTGATGGCTTCGTCTGTGGAATTCAGAAGTTTCACTGACTTTGAGGGTGTTTGTTCTCTGGCCCTAGAAGTCCTCTGAGATGCTTTCTTTAAAGCTGAAAACTAAGCAGTTACCAGCTTACTGGCTGCCTGGCCCAAATACACACCGGAAAGCGGCGTCAGGCCTTCGCTGTGACCTGTGTCTCCTGGTGTGGGATGCGCCGTCCTCAGTGAGTGCTGGCGTACCTGCTCCACACTGCCCGCCTGCCCCTGCCATCCTCACAGCACGTGGTGCCTAGGGAAGCGTGTTGGCTCCTCCAGACCACAGCCTGCCACGGCCGTTTCGGAAGCACCGTGTGACAGGAGTTGAGGGCTTCCCACTTGTGCCTTGCTGCCAGGGTGGCAGGCAAGGGGTAGAGAGAACTGTTGTTCCATGTACGTGAGAGCCCCCGCCTGCCCAGTCCGTCATCCCCACACTTCTGTGCCAAGCACTTGTGCGCGGTGCTGCTTGTTTTCTTAATGACCTTGGTCCCTGCCCTTGTGGAGTATTAGCAGGGGCTCCCGTGCCCCCTTTTAAGTACCCTAAGGTATGTGGTCACTGAAACACTCCAGAGACAGAGGCCAGTATAACAAAGAACCACAGCTACTGGCCTTGCTCATGTGCCTGTTAAGCAAGGTCCAGAATCAGGGACACTCTGTAGTCTGTGCTCCCAGCCCCCTGTCAGGGACAGGTGCACATCCTTGCCTGGCCTCCAAGCCGTCCAGAACTGTCTGTCTGACTCTCCGTTTTGCTGTGCTTGCAGTGCCACAGGGAACCAGAGACACCTACAGGTGCCAGCTTTAGATCAACACCCGGTGTGGCAGTCCTAGCGATCGGTGCCCAAGAAGAATGCGCACATGGGCTCTGCTGTGCTCTGAGGAGCCAGTTTATTTGTGTTCAGGATTTCCCTGGGGAGTTCTATCCTTGGACAGGGCCAGGTGTGGACTGGCACCTGGAATCTGACCTGGGGGAGCAGGGAGAGGTGCTACTGTGCACCCCCAAGGGTAGAATCCCAGGAGACACAGCCAGTGTCGCTTTGCAAAAGCCCTAGTGGTTGGAAGTCTGCGTCCATTCCACTGGCACCTCTGTGCAGCATTGGACTTGGTTTCTACAGGGCTGGGCAGCCCCTCCTGAGCCAGCTGCTGTCTGCAGCCTCACCCCACCTAGCCGGAATCCGTGTCCCTCGCGTCATCGCTGCCTGCAGGACTCCGAGAGGGTGGCTGGCCAGCACAGCCTGAAATCTTGGAAGGTGCCGTGTTTCTCCATGAGGAACTCGGAATGCTGAAATGGCCTCAGAGATGAAGCTGGCATGCTCGGGACTGTCGGGCACCTGGCATGATGTGCCCATCAGGGACTATGCCATCTCACCCCCCTCCCTGTCCTTGTCCTGTTTTAAAAGTAGCCAAGTAAAAGTAGTTTTATAAATCCATCGTGATGTTCAGTGTAGAGGAGAACTATACTGAGTTCATTCACTGGACACGAAACCGTTAGTGAAGAGAAATCTATTTTCACTACTCCCCAAACTTCTACACAATAATTAACGAGAACTTTTAAAAGTAGCCCCCACCGACAAAGAATAAAAAAGCTACTCTAACCTCCTCGGATCAGAAACTCTAGAGCAATTTCTTATGATGCCTCCTGCCGGGGCGCCTCCTCTGCCCATCGTGCTGGGCTTGAGCTGCGTTTGAGGAGCCGTAAATGCCATCCACACCGCTTTGCCAGAACAGCGGTGGCAGGTGTCAGCACTCCGCAGGGCCCCCCTTGCTCTGGGGCCCCCATGGAACCCCCAGGCTGGCATGCTGTAGAAGTTCATTCCCAGCCCTGGGATTTGGGCAGAATACCAAAGGAAAGCCCCTTCAGGTTCCCATAAACATAAGCATGGACACCTACACCTCAGTGTGCAAGGTGGCTTTGCTCTGCCACAGCCCAGGAAACTGGCTCGGCAAGGAGGCACACGTTCCAGCAGTGTTCTCCGTCCATGGTGATGGATCACAGCAGTGCTTAAGCATCTCCTCCCCAGTTGTAGCATGTCCAGAGCCAGCCTGCTTCCAGGTGCTGGAGAACAGCCCTCTACCCCCAGTCGTGCCCCTGCGCCCCGCAGACTCCAGCCAGCGGTGCGGCCAGCTGGCTTGCTGACCCTTCAGTGTGCCTTGCGAACGACAGCCATCCCAACATGAGAGCACATGCCCTTTCACTCCCACAGACCGGAGTCCTGGAGAGCTCAGCGTTGTCTAAATGCATCTGTTAAGCTCTGCAAATACGTTCTGCAGGCGGCTACATGCTCACTTTCCTGGCACCTACAACAGCTTGCTCGCTTCTTCCTCTGGTGCAGATAGTGAAAGGGTCATGAAGGGTCTTTTAGAGGAGGAAGCGGCTCTGAAGTCCAGGGCCTGCATTTGCAGTTTCCTGTTCCAGGTGCAATTAAAGGCGTCTGTAATCACTACATACACACATGTAGCGCTGGACTAAGTATCTTCTGCTTGTGTTTCAGTCGACAGAATTCTCCTTTGCGAAAGGTGAGGAAGCATGTATTTGGGTAATATATCCAGCTGTTAAAGGAGAAGGAAAAGCCCTTTGCCAGATGTGTTCTCAGGCCGTTTCCTCTCCTGAGAGACAGTCATTTCCCCTGCCTTGCCAGTGTGTTTTCATTCTCTGGGTGGATGGGGGATGCGGGCAGTTCAGAGGACAGCCCGGCAGCAGCCCCCCGCCTTATCTCAAACAGTTATCTTTCTGCTTGCAGCTGTGCAACTTCTGTCTGACACAGGACCACAGAAGCTGTTTGCACGGGGGGAGGGCCAGAGTGAATCGCACGAGACAAGTCGCATGGCTCGTGTGGCTGCTCTGGCGTGCTGGGCGTGCTGAGCTGCCATGCTCGGCTCCTTACCCGGAGAAGGTGCCAACTTACCTGAGTGCTGCCCAGCAGAAGCACGTGTCAACGACGTTTGATTTTTTTTTTAAGTAACAGAAATCCTGGAATCTCTTAGAGCTACCGTTGAGCCAAGCAGAGTAGCCTTGGTGAGAGCGGGGCCGCTTCCCGGCCGTGCTGTGTGCAGGCGTGAGTTTAAGGACCAGAAAGGAAGAACTTTGTATTTACTAGAAACTTGGGAAATTTCCAAGTCACTTTTTTTTTTAAAGATTTCGCCATAAATTCCAAGAATTTTTAGGAATATTTTAGTTTAAATAGTTCTCCTGCCACATACAGTTATCCAAAATGCTGTTTGATTTTTAAATATTTTGATTCTCTTGATATTTTTATGGAGTGTTTTATCTCCACTGAAAAAAAAATGCCAAAAAGGTCAAGGTGCAAGCCACCACTTTAAAAAGGTAGTGGACGAAACCGCAAACAATGGAGGGCTGCGTTCGCCTGATAATATTTTTGCCAGTGATTCTGTGTCCTGTTTTCTCCCTGCCAACAGACATGCGAAAGCCTTGTTTTCCCGGTGAGTTGGTGATTACATGTGTTATGCATGACCTGCGTGAAGTCAAATAAAAGCTTTCCTTTTACTCCCAGAGTATTTCATTAGCGTTCCAAATGCACTTCTTCATTGTAATTTTATGGTAAGTGCTGCTGAACGCACTTCACAAGAGTGGTGGAAGCTCCCAGCTCGCCTCCCGCTCCACGTCTGGGCTCTCTGTCCCAGCCCCTCTGTGAGGACCTGTCCGCTTTCTCACAGTGAATTCTCTCTTGAAAGTGGCTGGAGGCCATCTAGATTAATCCTCCTTGGATGTAAATTTATAGAACTTTTATCTTAATTACTGAGAGACCTTTTTAAAGGATCGAGATAAAAATGTCACGTGTGCTATTTACATGAAGATCTATGATGCCTCTTGGTTGTAGGTTAGCATAAAGAAAATAGCTTATGTCAGAGGAGGAAAAATAAAGCCCACGACCTCTGCTTGGGTTCCCGTGCATCTGGCCAGCTGGCTACGAAGGAATCTTCCTGTGGGAAATGTGGCTGGGCTGCGGAGTCAGATGCACGAGTGGTTTGGAAGACTTATATTGGAATTAGGATAAATAGTTGCGCTTCTAAGGAAGGGATGTTCCTGTTTACATGTATCAGATTGCTTGGTGATCCGGGGTCGGTGAAGCCCGCCCCACCTCCTGGTACCACCTGTCAGCTCCTCCTCTTGTGACTGGCTAACACTCCACTAGTGACAGAGTCTCGCTCCATCAGAGTGTTCCCTTTCAAGGAAAGGGTCTCACGCCAGAGGAGGTTTGACAGAAAAAAGCAAAGGAAGTGAATGTGGCAGGGCTGAGGAGCCGATTCCTGATGTCCGCTTCTTTCAAGAAGGAAAAAAATCAAATTAAGCCGTGCATGTCAGTTTCTCTTTGAGTTTATAGGTCAAAAAGTCTTCCTTGACTAAAAAAGCTTTAAGATTTGTTTTCGGGCCGGAGCTTGGTAGAGCGTGTTAAAGCTGTAATGCATGCTGCTTTGAGTCCTGGCTGTTCCACTTCTGCTCCGGCAAACGGTGTCCTGCGTGCTTGGGGCCCTGCACACAGATGGGAGACTTAAGAAGCTCCTGGCTCCTGTCTTCAGACTGCCCCAGCCCAGCTCTGACCACTGTGACCATTTGGAGAGTGAACCAGTTGATGGAAGGGCCCTCTCTCCTCTCTCTCAGTTCTGCCTTTCAAATAAATAGACAAAATTTTCAGAATGTGTTCATGTTAATTGAAAGGCAGGGTTAGAGAAAGAGCTCTTCCATCCACTGATTGTGTCCCCAAAAGGCTGCAATGGCCATGGCTGGGCCAGGCTTAAGCCAGGAGCCTGCAACTCGGTCTTGGTTTCCCACATGGTGTTGAAGCCAACCTCCATTGCTTTCCCGGGCGCATTTGTAGGCAGCTGGGATTGAAAGTGGAGCTCGAGCTGGTGCCCACATGGGACTTCAGTATTGCAGATGGTGGCATAATGTACTGCCCCACAAAGTCAGCCCCTACAGTAACAAAACAAAAAGCTGCAAGGTCTGATTCCTGTTGGATTCAGTTGCCAACTCCACTTGGGGTACTCACTTGCTCCCTCTGCTGGTCTCATAGTAAGTGCATGCTACCCTATCTACTTATTAGTCATGAACAGAAATGATAGCAAACTGGATACTGTTTACAGTATTTTTGTTTTCATTTTAGTGCAAAACAGGCACATGCACGCACACACACACACTCACATGCTGAAGCAATATTTCCAGGCATCGTGCTCGTTTCAGCAGCAAATATACTAAAATTGGAACGATACAGAGAAGATTAGCATAGCCTCTGCGTAAGGGTGACACGCAAATTTGTGAAGCGTTCCATATTTTAAAAAAGAAGAAGAGGAAATCTTCCCAGGTATTCACTGAGCATCTCTGCAAGCCCAGAGAATGGTCTGCACTCTGACTCGGTAGCCATGGACTTGAGCGATGGGGTCGTGCAGGTCAGCAGTGTACAAGAACAGCCACTCCTGGGGGCCTGACCCTTCCTGCACACAGAGCTGGTAGACGGGCGGGTGCAGGCTCAAGGAACAGCAGGAAGGCCTGCAAGGTTCAGCTGGATCTGAGTTGTTTACCAATTCACAAGGAGCTCTTCCGCCTGTGGGGTGGCCTGGGCATGGGCTGATCTGGAATGGCCTTTGGTGTTGTGTGTCCAAGAGCCCAGGACAGGTAAGGTGCAGTACAGGGGTCAGACGGGGCCACTGGGGTCATTCAGCTCAGATAGTGTGGTGGCCTGGGCTGACAGCACAAATGCCACACTTACAGCTGTTTAGGAGGTGCCATGAGCAGGACACAGATAGAACACAGGGATTCCAGTAATGGGAGGGGTTTTTTATTGGGGCTGATTTTCCCACTTAGAAACACACCCGCTTTCAAGACAGAAGCGCTGCTGTCCCGCTTTTCCATGCTCGTGTATTTATGTTGAGTGCATGTGAAGTGTCTTAATCTCTCAGAGAACACCTGATCATTTTCTGTACATGTGCTTACATCTCCCTGTGCAACTGGCTTTCCCCGTTCTTTCAAAGTAGACTATTCATTCCATGAACACTGAAAAGCCAGTAATTTGGAAAACGCAAAATGAGTAGAACCAGGTGCGAGCTGGTGCTGTGAGCAGTTTTGCCTGGGAGGGGCAGTAGACTCTGAGACCTCTGTGGAGAGCAGGCTGGGTTTCTGGCTTACAGCTTCCCAAGTGCCTCGGTGCTCCACCCAAGTGTACAGGCTCACAGCAGGTGTGAGCTGATATGGACAGAGGTGGACAGGCCAGCACTGGGCACATGGTCCAATCTCAGATACCCGTCTTGGTAGACCCACTTCCAGCTCCTTGGGACGGGCTAGGTATCAGGACCACAGTGTGGCTTCTCTGGGCCTGAGACTCTGTTACTCTGTAGTTACTTCGCGGGGCAGACAGGAGTGTCCACAGCCTTGGGTTCTTAAAGATGTATTTATTTCAAAGCATTAAAGAGAGATGAGAAGAGAGAGATCTTCCATCTTCTGGTTATTTCCCCAGATAGCCACAAGAGCCAGAGCTTGAACAGGCCAAACTCAGGAGCCAGGAACTTGGTCTGTATCTTCCACTGCTGTTACAGAGTCACTGGCAGGGAGCTGGGGCAGAAGTGGAGCAACTGGAACCCAAACCGGCCCTCGTAAGGGGTGCTGGCATCATAGGCAGCAGCTTTCTCTTCTATGCCGCAGGACCAGCCACGTCGTTATTCTAAGCAGAGATGGTCTAGAAGTCCTGGCCTTGGGCTGGCCATCCAGGACAAGCAGAGGAACTGAGGGCACTGGGGAGATTTCGGATGGGACTGTGGGCTGAGGCTACCCAGATAGTGCTGCCCTCCTTGGTGAACCCCACCCAGGGAGTGCCTCCTTCCGGCTCAGCCTTCGCCACCTCGGCCCCTACCTTCTCCCTCTGTTAAGTGGGAATAATTGGTGGAGTTATTTGGAGAATTAAGTGACCTCGACCAGGCAGGAGGGGCAGTACCTAGTGTGTGCCCTTGTCAGTGTCCATTTGAGTAATTATCGTGGAAGGATCCTTCAGCTACGTTAGAGCGAGTGCCTTAGGAAGAGGCACCAGGAAGCGCTCCTTCACCCGGTCAGCACTAGACACGGGAGAATCGTGCTCTTGTGTTGGTGAGGCCAAGGTGTTGGCTGCCGGAGTCCAGCTCCAGCTGAGTTCGGAACTCGCGAAGGTGCGTGGATGAGGCGCAAAGAGGAGGAAAGACGGACCACTAGGATTTCATCATAATGGACCACGCGGGAAAGCTGTCCCCTTTATTTATACAGAATCAGCCAAACTCTGGCTCAGACTTTTTACGTCATGGTCAAGTGGATGTTTCTAAAGATAACTGCCATTTGTTTCACCTAGGGCTAGGAAAAAGTTCTCAATAGATGGTGCATATCAATCAGTAACATTCCTACCACAATCTTCATTCTACAGCTTGGTCTTGAGACAGTCAAGGAAGAACTTCACAGGAGGGACCGAAAAGATCAAAGAAAGAGGGAAAGAATAGATTCCCACTACACCTGAAGACAGAACACCCTTGATTAGCATAGGATCAAAAGGGGAGTTAGCATCCTTGATTAGCAAATTGTCACAGGTTGCAGCCGTGACAGCAATAACAGCTTTTTGGCTAAAAAACAGTAATGGCAACATCAGCTTCTAAGCTCATATTGATATTAAACATTAACTCCGCAGAGGCAGACAATGCCTAAATAGATTACAGAATTCTCAGTGGGGTTGTCCGGTGTCCATGCAAAGGGAGGCGGAGCTGCATTCAGGTGTTGTAGAGACATCTGCCGGGCCCTGCCTGCAATGGAACAATGCGCTTCACACCTTCCTGTCTTCCACACCCATCCCACGGACCCAGCAGTTGGCAGTGCTCTGACTAGATCACGTGCATTCAGAAGGTGGCCATGTCCCTGTACTGTTTTACAAACAGCCTGTAGGAGCCTGTGTGGGAGACAGGTGATAGGAGCCTGGCTGACGTGTCCGCTGTGCACATTCTGCTCAGATGTGTCATTGCTGACCTGAGCCGAACACTAAATGAATGCCTGCTGCTTTCCTTCTAACTGGTTTGCACATGGGACAGATGACTAAGTTAATGCCATGGGATCGGAAAAGCAGAGTCCGCCCGGCTGTGCCTCAGTTTCCCACAGACACCCACAGCAGTCACAGACGGGCTCCAAGGTACAAGCCAGAGTGGTTGACAGGTGCTCCGTAATCTGTATAGAAACTTTCTGAAAAGATGCTAGATAGCTTGGAAGAGCAGTAATAAAGAGGTTACAGTGACACGGTCATGCAAGTCTCCCCCACACTGGCCTGCAGGTGTAACTTCTGCCTGTAGCTCCGTCACAGTGGATGGCCCTGCAGCCAACAGGTTCCTCTCTCTGGAATCAGCTTCTGTCACCAGAGTCCAGCTCCTAGGAGGACAGATGTGCCAGGCTCAGCCCAGATGGGAACCTGCTCCCCTGAAGGCGCTGGGAAGGCCATGTGCAAAGTGAAGCATCCCTGTACAAGCAGCCAGGTGTTAGCACTTTCCCTCCTAAATCGCTATGTGATTCAGACGATGGCTGCTGGCTGGCACCTTTTGGATTTAGCCATTGCCTGCATTGCATTCAGCTGTGGCGGCCTTGGAGGGACGGACTCAGGTCATAGATGGGAATCCCAAGCCTAGGGAGCGTCCTGATGCTGCTCAGTGTGCAGTGCCTAATTTGATTTCATGTGAGTGCTGTGAGTTTAGGGATTTTGTGACTGTCCTGATGGGGGTAGACTCACTGTGAGCATGGACCTTCCACCAGGAGCCCTGCACCCTGTACTGCAGGGAGCTGTGGAGCTGTGAGGAGTTCTGTGCGTGGGGAGTGCGGTCAGGCAGATCTGCGATAAAAGCAGCCTGCTTCTCTTGCTTTTCTGATGGATAGCTGGCCCCTAACTTTACCATCAGAGTCTCCTGCCAAAAACACAGCGACAAGAAGACATCCAGACCCTGAATGCTTAAATGTCATGTGTCTGACTTCTGAAGTCCTGAAGCAAGTGTAACAGAATGGAAGGGGCACGTGAACTCTCTTACAAGGGTACCACACTCATGATGGCATCACCTGCCAAGACCGTCACGTTGGGGAACGCACAGATGGTCAGCATTGCCTGTGGTCTGAGTCCTGTGTCTTTGGTAACATTGAGCTTTCCCTTGGGACTGCGGGGTTGGCTTCTGTGTAGGAGAAAGAGCCAGCACCTCAGTGCGGCCTAACGCAGTATCTGAGTAGTATGTGTTCATAAGCGCCTACTGTTGCTTTCCTCTGCTCCCGCCATCTCCGTGGACATCACTGTAACCCTGCATGGCTGCCCAGCGCTAGCATTGAACAAACTGGGGTGTAGCACCGTGTGGCAGGGCTCAAGTTCAGAGCACTTACCTCATCCACCTGTCTACCTGTTTCCCATTTTTAGCACTGTTTGTTTATATTCATTTTAAAGGCAGAGTGCAAGAGAGTCAGTCGATCTTCCGTGAGTTGGTTCACCTCCCAGAAACCACAGACTCTGGATCTCTCACACAGGTGGCAGAGACGCAAGTACTCGAGCCTTCATTCCTTGCTTCCCAGAATGCGTTAGCAGGAAGCCAGAGCAGAAGCACAGTGGCCGGGTCTCAAACTGGCATTCCCGCGTGGGACGAGCTTCTGCCTAGCCCCCGGAGCCACAGCCCACTGCTGTGCAGCCTGTTGACACCACAGTCCTTTACTCGGTTCTTGCACTCCTGTTGCCCCCGAGCCCAGCCCTTGTGTGTCCTTCAGCAGCACTGTTTCTTTTAGTAATGTGACAGATGCCAGGCCTCTGCGCATGCTCCCTGGGCCCGGCCAGCAGGAGTCCTGTTCCTGAAGCCCATCTGCAGCATGGCTCCTTTTTGTCTTTCCCTAATTTTTTTGCATCACAGACACTGTTCCCAGAACCCTGTGGGATTTGATCAGACTGATTCTCCTTCAGGTCATTTACTCTATGTGAGAAAAGTTGTCCCGTCCTTGAAGGTCCATAAAGTCTCCTAAAAAGGCCGTAATTCCCAGAGGGATGTTCCTCTCTGCTCAGACGCTCTTTACGTTGCTGGTGTGTGGTGGGAGTGAACTGAACTGTGGCCAATGCAGTCCTAGTAACTGTGCTGTGTTACAGATACACCCAAACACGAAGGAATCGGTCTCAGATGTGTTCCATGTGACTCCCATGCACTGACCGTATAGTGAGGAATAAGGGACACAAACCCTCTGGGGTGTGTGCGTGCCTGAGCAAGGGGGAGAGAGAGAGAAACAGAGAGAGAGAGGTCGAAAAACCTTGCAGTAACATGAAGCTGG